TTAAAGTTCTATTATAGTAGTTTATTCTTACATCATTTTGTGCCTTTTTCCCGCCACCAATTTACCCATGTGCCATCATCATAGTCCCGAGCACTTCTCTCTCCCCGCCCCCCAATCCATTTTTGATCCCATTCCCCACTCTACCTCTGTAAAATGTCTTTGGTACTAGTTGTTCATTGGTTTTAGTTTTTGTGTTTTTCTCCCCGGTCCTTTACGCTCCAGCTATGAGTGAAACCATCCTGTATTTTTCTTTTTCTTTCTGGCTTATTTCATGAAGCATGATCCCTTCCAGCTCCATCCATGTTGCTGCAAAAGGAATGAGTTTCTTTTTTGATTGCTGAGTAATACATGTACCACATCTTTTAAATCCAGTCATCTACTTTTGGGCATTTGGGTTGATTCCATGTCTTTCCTGTTGTAAATAAAGCAGCCATAAACATGGGGGTGCAGGTGTATTTTTGGACCACTGTTTTTGTGTCTTTTGGGTCGATACCTAGGAGTGGGATTGCTGGGTCATAGGGAAGCTCCATGTTTAGCAGTTTGAGGAACCTCCAAACAGGTTTCCATAGTGGTTGTGCTAGTTTGCATTCCCACCAGCAGTGCAGGAGAGTTCCTTTTTCTCCAACATTTGTTGTTGCTAATTACATGCATTTTAATGCTGATTTCAGTGTTCTTTAGGTTGGATGTTATTTCTTTAAGGAGGATCTAGTTTTAAAATATAAGATTACACACACATGTAAACACACACACACACACACACACACACACACACTTTGGGGTTGTGTCAGATGTTAGATAAGCCAAATAAATTGCTGCTCAGAAATTGGGTTGAATTACCAAGGAAAGGATCCTGGTTGCCATTTTAAGTGTTGACTGTAGATGATGATGAAAACCCTTCCTAATCTTTAGCTGAGAGTGTATACGACTCATTCTACATTCATCAAGCTATAGCCAGTACCGCAGGTGTTTGTCTGTGTTGTTCTGTCCTCTTGCTGTGGGGATGCAGACTGCCTGGTCTCCAGAGAAGGCCGTCTCGGGCTGTTGGCTGCTGTAACCGATTGCTGCGGGTTGAGTGGCGAGTTTATTTCTCACAGTTTGGATACTGAGGAGACTCAGATGAGGTGCTGGCACATTTTAAGTCTGAGAGAGCCTGTTTCCTGGTTCACAGAAGGCCGTCTTCTTGCTGTGTTCTCAGAAGGAAGGCACTCTGAGGCTCTCTGGGGTACTAGTCAATCCCATTTATGGGGGCTCTATCCTCAGGGCCTTATTACCTCCCAAAGCACCCATGTCCTAATACATCACATGGGGGGTGGGCTAGAATTTCAACATGAATTTTGAGGAGGATACAGACAATCGCTAATAGCTGGCATGAAAGGCCAAGTGAAATTGACTTCCTGGTTATTTTTCAAGTGAAAAATATTTGTGGAAAAGGTATATATGGATTTAACATATATGCTTGAAAATAAGCTTTTATTGGATGTGGAAATGGACTTTAAGGTTTTCTGTGGTGATTCATGCCTTTTTCACTTGGGTTTTAAAGTCTACTTTCAGAGATATTCCAAAGGAGAGCATTGAGACAAGGCCCTATGAAGGACACCTGAGAGGCATCAGCAGTCACTGCTTCTCATTGGGGCTTTCATTCTGCTTGCAGCTGCAGAACTGGGCATTTTAGGTGTTTTTTTCCCTTTGACTTGGTTTGCTAGAGTTGAAACCTGTACTTTGGAAGTAAGAGTGCTCCTAACTGTAGCCCTGGAGTGCAGCCCAGTGGCCCACGGGGCTGGTTAGGCAGCGCCAGCGAGCACAGGACAGGCCTCCCATGGAGTTCGCAGATGGGTCAGCAGAGCCCGCGGTGGGTTTTACAGCCTTTCACACTGTCTCAGGGAACCAGCTGCACAGGCACACCCAGCAGGGAGGCTGGAGGTGCCTGGCAGTGAGGGTGTGTGTGGGGGTGGCAGGCAGGCAGGCAACTAAGCCTCCCAGACCCCCACGAATCCGTACTACACTCCCCCCTGGGCTCTCTGGTGTTCTCTTTTACAGCCCGCCTCTGACACCACCTGTATCTCCCTGGCCTCTAGGCTCAGGTGTACACTTGCACATGCACCCGTACTCCAGGTGTCCCCAGTCAGGTACGCGGGCCCCACCCCACACTCCCAAGCACCTTCTGCGTTAACGCGCTCAAGGCTGTAGGTGATCAAGGCCGCCAGAGGCTGGTGGCGCAACAGCCTGGGTAACTCATTTACCCTGGTGTGGTGTTGAGTTTTCTTCCTTGAGTCTCACCTGCCAGTGTAGAGCAGGGATGTGGCGTGGTTTAGGTGACACTCTGAGAGGCTCCAGTAATCCAGACTCACATAGTGAGCGTGATCATTGTTTCCCTTTTAAATGTTCTTTGAAACCTTCTGAAATCAGAACGGTCATGCTTTGGAGCTACGGCGCTCAGCTCTGCCTGGCTCCCTTGTCCCAGGGACTGCAGCCTTGGCCTAGGATGGTGAGCCCGCTTTGGCCCCGTGGTGGCATTCAGTGACACCGCATCTGCTTCTGTACTGCCTTGTGCTTAGTGACACATGATGTTGTTTCGATGTTCTGTTTTTGATGGATTCCTTTTTTTTAAGCCCAAAGGGGTGATAGCACCCTCAGAGGAGTAGACCTGTGGGGCGGGGGAGGTCAGGAAGCCAGTGAGGATGTGAGCACTGAGGGGACTGGAGCATCATCCCAGAGGGGAGCTCTGGGAGGCGGCTAGCACCTGGCCCGCAGCCTGCTCCCACCTGCTGGCCAGGGCGGGCCAGGGTGTGTACACTGAGTGTCCAGCAGTGGTGTGTACTGCCACCATGCCCATCTGTGGCAGAGCGGCTCTGGCAGCTGGAGCCAGTGCCCAGGCGGATAATGGTAGGTGTTCACAGTGACCTTGTGGACAGAATAAAGAGGCGGGGCACCAGCAGTTTCTGCTACACCCCAATATGCTAAGCTTCACCTACATTCTCTTCTTCTTAGTAAGCAGCAGCCCCATCTTCTGATGCTCTGGCCCCAAAATTTGGAGTCACCCCTTAACCCCTGTCTCACAGCTTACATCCAAACTACATTTTACTGGTTCTACGTTTAACAATGTATTCAAAATCTGACTTCTGGCCCTTATTTCCACCACCTGGTTCAGCCCCTCTCCCCTCTGTCCCCCATCATCTCATTGCCCTCTCACTTAGGGTACCCTTAACATAGCAACTGGAACGAGTCATAGAATTGCATTATATACTTCAGATTGTGTCACTTCTCACCTTAAAAGCTTCCAGAGGCTCTGTCTTACTCAGTAAAAGCCAAAGTTGTTCCAGTGGCCTGTAGACTTCCGCTCGCTGCTCCGTCTGGGTGCCTGATTTGCATGCGTGTCGGTCTGCTTCCTCTGTTCTTGTCTTTTTTCTTTTTTTTAAGATTTATTTTTTTCTGCATACGGAACTGGAGTGCAGGCCAGAGGTGCAGGGACAGTGAGAGGCTTCACCAGAGCCAGAGTGGGGAGCAGAACAGGCAGATCGACGAAGTCCACTGCTGAGGGGAGCAGCGGCGGGGTCAGGAGAGGTCTGCCACGCCATGTGGGTCACTCCCTGCCAGGGATGGAACTGACTTTGAAAGACTGCGGCCAGATTCGCAGTGCTGTGCTTTAACCTGTTGCGCCACCAGGGAGGGCCCTGTTCTTTTTTGTCTTCTGTGTAGTCAGGATGGTGACTTTCCCATTCCCATCTGTGGTCAACCGGACTCATTTGTAAACTAGTTTTATTTGTCACAATTTGCCTCATATCTTTACCACTACATCCTGGTTGATTTTTAAAACAAATTTTTCCACAGTAAATCTAATCTTTGTGGTGTGTAGTTCTGCTGGTTTTGACAACAGCCTGGAGTGGTACATCTACCACCATGGTTCCACATAGAATTTCATTGCCCTGAAAACTTTCTTGTTGCAGGGGAAACCCCACAAGGAAGCTGCCCTGGCGATGGCCATTGTCCACACTTTCCGGCCTCTACTAGTGTCACATGAACGAGCTCTTAGCCTTTTCCAAAGTCTGATTCTTTTTCTTAGCAGAATGCATTTACGGGTATTCCTATTGTGTGGTCTTACACAAGATTATTGTGTAAACCAGCAGTTCTTCACTTGAGTGTCTTTTACAATACTTCTATTAAAGCAAAACATTAAAAAGGGAATTGATTTAAAGAAAATTGAACAAAAATGGCAGGCGGTGTGGTACTTAGGAGCAGTGTCTTGAGTGAGATTGGGAGACCAGCGATGTGACATGAAGATGCTAGGCGAGGACTGCCCCCCCGCCCCCCGCTGCTCATTAGCTCTCCCTCTGGGGTGTCACCCTTTGTTCTCTAGTTGCTGGTAAAGGACCAGTAAAACACCTTACCTGGCTGCTAGGAATGAAGGCGTCAGACACCAAGATCCCGGGGCCTGGGGCTTTGGGGGCACCAGGTCTCACGTGAAGCAGCTGTCCCCAGAGTTGTTGGATGAGCACCCAGAGGTGCGCTTTTAGCCTGTCGCGAGCAAGTAGAGCCCGCCAGCAGGGTGAGGCGAATGCTCCCGCGGGCGGGCTTTCCACCAGCTTCTGGCAACTGATTTTGTTACGGTGGTGTTTGAACTTGAACCCCTTCAGTTGTGTCCTTAGGTTTTTCCCAGTGGTGTCTGTAAGAATGATTCGGGGGGCTCGTAGCTTCCTGGATGTGGCCGTCTTGCGGCATCTTTGACAGTCTGCATGCTCGAGACACCTTGCTGATAATAGAAACTTACAGGAGCCCTCGAGGAGACCTTTGATGGTAGCTGGCTTGGTTTTCACTTTTAAAGATGGACAGACCCAAAGCACTCCTCCTTAAATCACAGCTAATGACTTCAAATGGCTTAAAATCTTTGATCAGGTTGCCTTTTTTTATTGGATTTGAATTGTCAGTGTGAAATCAGTAAATGAAAGGAATCGCTTTATTTACATGTGGCCCATAGTAATACTTATTTTACTTTTTACTTGTAGTAATGAATGTTATAACTATTGAAGATTATAAGAGCACATACTGGCCAAAATTGGATGGTGCCATAGATCAGCTTTTAACCCAGAGTCCTGGTGACTATATCCCCATATCCTATGAACAGATATACAGGTAAGTCAAGAGTTAATTTGCCTGGGTTTGAGAGGGTATATTGTGTTCTTGGCAGCTTGAATTAGGACAGTATGTATGCAGATAATAAGGTGAAGCTCTGTAAGTTATTTACGAGGCGAGGTTTGATTAATACTGTATGCTTCAAATTGTTTTTCAAATCAGGAGTAAACCCCACTCAAACTTTTTCCCACTTCAGCCTGCCACCCTGCTATATAAAGTAAAAAAAAAAAAAACAAAAAAACCCACAGAGGGCAGTAAAAAAAAAAAAAAAGGACAAGAATGATTGAAGAAACTAGAGTGAAATAGGTATTTTTAGCTTCCAAGGAGTCCTGAGCTTAGTGTTTTGGTTATTTTGTTCCCAGCTTCTGGTAAATGAAAGCAGCAAAATAGGGAGAAAATGTGTGTGTGTGTGTGTGAGAGAGAGAGAGAGAGAGAGATCAGCTTACTGATGAGGAGGAAGTGACAGTACAGTTTCGTTGATCACTTAAATTAAGTCTGAATCGTTTGACCTGTGGCTGTGCATGGAAAGTGTGCTTTTCCCCTTGGGTTGAAGTAAGTGCTTTAATGCTAACTTAGCTTTTCTGTTGTTTTTTCCTCCCTGCAGTTGTGTGTATAAATGTGTATGCCAGCAGCACTCAGAACAGATGTATAGTGATCTGATTAAGAAGATAACTAATCACTTACAGAGAGTCTCGAAGGAGCTGCAGGTAAAGAACTGATTGTGTGGATTTTACTTCTGTGGGGTCTTCCACTGGTTGGGATTTGCTTATGTAATCTACATCTAGAAGCTGTTTAATTTGATCATGATGTAAAATTACAAATATTTTCTAGGTAAATAGTGACCAAACTATCTAATCTTGGAGAAGGTCATTAATGTGAAAATTGATGTAAATTATGAAGAAGTTTAGATTGAATTTATTTCAGACTTTAACTGTTTCTATATCTAACCCTGTTAATGTTTCTTTTATCTTTCCTGTTACGGTCAGGATTTGTTGACTTTTATAATATAAACGTGTATGTTAACTTTTTTCCCCAGAATTTCTAAAAATTTGAAGAGTGTTTTTTACCAATTGGTTTCTAATATTTGCTAATATAAAAAGCGGAAGTCAGTATTTTGTTGATAAACCCTCTAAAGATGACCATCATCCCAGCTGTAAAATTTGGGGCAAATTGTGGAAAATAGTCTGTTTTAGGAAGCACTTGGCTTCTTGGTTCCCACTCCACCCCTCCCCACCTCAGAGAAGTTTCCAGTGCTTGAAGGTCAGGTGCTATGTTTATGCCAAGGCCAGATCACATTTTAGTGCTGGTGTAGCAGTGACAGATGTTGAAGTCACCCAGTGCCCGGTGGCCGGGCCCACACCCTGCAGCCCCACGTGGGCAGGGCGCTCGCGCTCCGAAGGAGTCGCTGCTAGCCGGCACTGGGCGGTCGTGTTCCTCTTCTGCCTTGTAAGCCAAGTGTCTCAGTGTCTACCCCAGATGATTCCTGTGCCAAGGAGCTTTTTTTATTTTTAAATTATAGCCAGTACTGTGTTTTACCACAACCAAATGAATGTTGTCTTCATCTTTCTGTCTCTAAGTACAGTCTCTATTCATGTACCAAACATGTTTGGTCCCCAGGCTTTTGTGACCCAAGATCAGGGCACTTTAACTCTGAACGAGCTGCTTACTGATTCTTGCTCCCACTTTCTCCTGAATTCCCACATCTGTACAATTGATTGCCAACTCTTGTTTACTTCCTCTTTCTCTGCTGGCTTCTGGTCATGTCTGCCCATTTAGTATTAGCCAGTTCAGGCCACTATAACCTCATCTATTTTACTGCAGTGCTTATCGTCGCTGGTGGTTCTGACTTACATTTGGACTTCAGGCAGGTGCCTGCTTACTGTCAGCCCCTGTATGCTGAGCTTCCCTCAGCATGAGCTTCCCTCGCCCATGAGCTTCCCTCGCCCATGAGCTTCCCTCAGTTCCTGGGTGTTTATGGGCTCGCTCACTTTTGGCTTTCGCCATGTTAACTTGACTGCCTGGAACATTCATTTTTTTCCCTCTGACTTTATTTTTTGGTGAGTATGAACTTAGCCTTTAGCCTATACATTATTATCAGCCTTAGCCTGAGACATTATTTGTTTTGGGAAACAGGTCTTGTTCTCTCAAGTCTGGGTTTGGGGAACCCTCTGAAAGCCAGTATAGTTCTGTGGTTCATCATGTATTGTAATTTCTTGTTTAGCTGTTTTCCTGACCCTCAGACTCCCCCTCCTGCCCCTCCTTACTCTGCTGTGAGAGGGCAGAGGAATTGTTCCGTCTTCATTACAAGTGTGTTGTCGGTACCCAGTCTAGTACTGACACACACTAGGCATGGATGCTTAGTGATTAAAATGTACATTGAATGTTTACAAATAAATAGTTACCATTTGTTAGATAGTGGGGGTTTCCAGTAGGATCCGAGCATGAGCTGCTTGTAACCTGAAACTGGGAGGTCTGTCAGGCGCTGCGGTCCCAGACTAGGTTAGCAAGAAACCAAGTGACCTCAAAAAGGACTGTTTCATTAACACTGTTTTGCTGTTATTGAAATGTCAAGAATTCTTCTAGAGCAGAAAACAAGCCATTTCTGTTCAGATCATAAAGACAAACTGTGTTACTTGTCTTGCTCACAAAAACTGCCTGTGCGACAGGACTCGGACCTGCGTGGTGCCTTCCGCGGTGGTCATCTGCCCTAGAGTGGGGTACTGCGTGGAATTCATTTGTAATGTTGCAGTTTCTGATGAGTAGGTTTTCCCTGTATTTAGTTTGGTAAGCACTGAAAGATCTCTTTTCATTCTTAGAAGACTGTTGTCAAAGTCTTTTAAAAGTTGGGAGTGCTGTAGCATTGTATTGTCAAACTCACACTAATTGTGGTTTGGGAAGACTAGTGGCTCCTTTTTTCAGCATGGATTTTCAAGGCCAGTTATTAGTAAGTTGAAGGTAAGCTGTTGGCCACACCGGATCACTAAAATTCAGAGTGTTTTTGAGCTTTTGGGGTGTGGGGGTGATTCCCGTCAGTATGTGAACTGCTTCATTCTTTAACATGAATACAGAATAGGTGATTGTACCTGATATTATTGATGTCCTTAATTTAGTCACTTTTGATTGATGAATATGTACGTTGCTTCTGATCTCTGTCACTAGCAGTAGTGCAGTGAGTAATCAGTCTTGTGAGTGGTGTGATTTATGAGGGCTGCATGGAGTTTCTAAGACGTGTGCCCGCGTGTGCGCCTGCCGGTTATGTATGTCCCAGAGTGCTTGTTTTCCTGGCCTTTACCCAGGCAGTAGATTGTGAAGTTAGATAACCTTTGTTTTATCTTAATACAGTAATAATTCTTATTAAAAATTAAAACATAGTTGAGAGTGGTATCTCAATATATGTTTATTATTGATAAACATAAAAGCAACATGTAATATAAAACCAGGAAATTTAATTTTCACAATCTTACTGGATGTCTCAGAATTCAGCAGTATGGCTTGTGAAAAAAATCTTACTTCACACGCTCCCTTTTGTTAGATATAGAGTCTGACTACTCATTAGGTAACAGAGTGGAGTGGATAAAAACGCTGGGACTGGGCTTTCCTCTCATGTCTGCCGCCCAGCAGCTTCTTGTGATTAAAATGTTAATATCCTGCTGTAAGTTTTTTCAACATCAAATGAAGTGGCTTTGTAAGTTTTAAGATATATTTCTTCTACTTCCTGCTTGGCAGATGCCGCTTCATTCTTTTCTCAGGCATACCCTCATTTGTGTTGAGTCTTCCTGGAACCTTTGCACTGCCCTCAGAACAAAACAGAACAGGCAGTTGGAATTTCTGCTTCTGTGTACTCAGCATCTTGGCAATAATAGCTCTGTTAACTCTGTGAAGTTTCTAAAACTTCCATGTCTCCCCAAGGCACATGTGGCCCTTGGAGGTTAGAGACGCTGTCCTGTGTTTTTTGTCCTTGGTACTGGACCTACATAGACCCCAACAAACTTTTATTGAAGGTTCAGCAACTAAATTTGACCTATTGTGATGTAAAAGGTGGCCTAATTAGCCCGTATGACCACTAATCTTTTTGTTTTCTCACTGCTGAGGCATTTTCTTACTTATTGTTCAGCTAATTCAGTTTATTAATTACTGCGTACGTGGTGTAATCCAGGGTCATCTCTGCTTTGTAGAGTCTTTATGGTAGCTTCAGTGGGTACACGCCAGGCCGGGCCAGAGCAGTGTGTCTGGGTGGAGCCTTTTGTTGGCAGCTCTGAGTTTAGTCATGAAATACTGCTGTTGTGAGCCGGAACCTGAATGTGGGATGAATTGCCTTTGGCAGATACTCCGAAATGTAGCGCTGGGGTTGCTGCTCAGTGAGATGACCTCAGGAGGGCAGCCTCTGTCTGTCAAGGACGTCCTAAAATAACTGCTGGTCTGTCTGGCTTGCGTTTCAGAATGACCTCTCTCTCAGAAGGCGCGAGCTCTCGGGGAGGCTGAAGAGTTTATGACAATCTTCCGTGCTCCTCAGTTATTAGGAAATACTGTTTTCTGATATTTTAAAAGATTGTTTTAATTTGTTCAGCCTAAATGTTTACATAAACAGCATAAACTAATTTGCTGCCTCTTTAAACAGAATGTGGTTTTCATTTTGAAAAGAATGACTTTTATTATCACATCAGTAATGTTAGAAAGGTTTTAAATTAATAAAAACATGTGACTAAACCCCACTCCGTTTTCTGTGACTGGTATTTCACGTCCATGTGTAACTGTACTTTTTTGCTTACTCTTGGATTGTTTGAACTGTGATAGTATATTTTGTCTTAGTTTACAACAATCTTTGACCCCTTATTTCTCCTTTTTCTCCAGGTGAGAGTCAAAATTGATCGCTCTTTCATTTCACTGGATTCTGTCCCCTCTCTGCCCACTGCTGTCACCCAGTGTCACGTACTAGCTCATGCCTGCGCTAGTGTTGTGTTTGCCTAACTGGTTTGTCTTTTTTAGTCTTTTGGTTGAATAATCTTCTAAAACTGCTATTTTTTTTTTTTACAGATTTATTTATTTATGCATACAGAACTGGGGTATAGGCCAGAGGTGTAGAGGCAATGAGAGGATTCACCAGAGACAGAGAGGGGAGCAGAACAGGCCGACTGACGAAGGACACTGCTGAGGGGAGCAGTGGGCGGGTCAGGAGAGGTCTGCCGCGCCATGGGGGTCACCTCCAGGGCAGGTATCAAACTCATGCTGAAGTGGCTTTAGCTTCTTAGTGCTGTGCTTTAAGCTGCTGCCACCGGGAGGGCCCTAAAACTGCTATTGACGGGCATATGCTCTTGTTCAAAAACCTTACAAACTCCCTGTTGCCTTTCTCAGTGAATTGAAGTGGATTGCTGGGTCAGTGTCAAACACAGAGCTGGTTGATGGGGTGTAGAGTTTGCTGTGGGGAACCTGATGACACAGATGACTTTTTCCTGTTCATAAGTGCCAGGCATTCTCAGGTACTGCAGTATATAGATGATTGATAAGACTAAAAGATCTGGACCAACCCTCCAACTGAGAACAGTGTTAACTCATGGGTCAGGGCTCTAATAAAAAAGTGGAGTTAAAAGGACCAAGATCTGCAGAAGAAAGAAACTCAGAGAGGGAGACTAGCTTTGAGCTGTTTCTCTACTGGATAATCCTTTATTCTGGAGAAGGAGGATGATAGGTTGAAAGATTTAATAGTGCT